CATTGTATAAAAAAAAATACAATCAAAATCAACGGAACAATATCACCATTTAATTTCACAGGTTTTAAGGAAACTAATTTGTAGAAAAGAATAAATTAAAAAATGAAGCAAAGCCCGTTTAATCTCGTGGAGTGATAGGCTAGAATTGAAACCAAAAATATTTCTTAGTCTCTCTTAGGATATCCACAGATTAACATTCACTGGTATTAACAATAGAATACATACTGAACTAAATATATGCGCATACTAAACTGAATGAGAAAATAATTTATAATTTATAATGGCCGCAATCAAACTTCGTCAACTGAAGTCAGAGAGATGAGAAAAATAGTGGTCCGGTTAGATCTCGGAATACATCGGTAAATTTTGAACCAACTTTGGAAGAAGAAAGAATTCCAATTAATATTATTAAGCGAAAAAGTTTTCAATTAATATATTTTTGACCTTTTGAATTAAAATAATTTGCTGTTTCTTGAAAACCATTTATTCTCATGATATGAGATATTGGTGGCAGGTTAGGGATAGGAATGAATATGAAACATTAATATGAGAAGTATAAGATAAAAAATTTCCTTCTATCTCATACCTTACATTTGAGTTTAAAATCCAATTTTCACTGTATCTGTGACACGTAGGTCTAATTAATAAGACATGTTAAAAAAGAAATAAAAGCAGTTAAAGTGATTTGAAACAAAAGTACATGTAATTACATTGTATTATAGAATAAAAGTGAATAAAAAAAAGCTATTTAAAATGCAGTCAACAAATATTCTGCTGAACACGACCTTTTCAGGTCGACAAAATTCTTTATATGATTTAATTTTTTAAAGGAAAATTTATAGCATATGCAGTAAAACAGATCATGCTATGATCTGTAATCATCTTCATAAGAGAAACATATACAATGTGTTAATGCATTTTAGAAAAGGAAAAATAAATTAACCTTTATCAGTATAGTTTTGATACAGATTAGGTCGAATGCGTAGAGGACGTCGTTCTGATGATTGTCTATCATTAGTATTACGTTCATAGTGAACAGCTTCCAGCTGGTTGGGTTTCGTCGGAAAATGTAGTTGACCGTGCTGCGAATATCCACTCATTATGTGAAATGGATAATGGCGACGATGATGAAGTTGTAAATCTCTGTCACGATTATCATAGCCATCACTATCAACAGTTGTCCGTGTATCATACATTTGTCTTCTAAAATTACAACATCTTCATTAACAGTATTGTAAATTGTAAACTAATATCACGAAAAACTAAGATTAAAAAAAATATCCTCCCCTTTGGCGATAATAACCTTTTCTCTAGTATCAAAACTGAGCATATTTTTTATAAACTTTTAGTTGTAACTGAAAACTTTAAAAATATCTTCCACTATTTCTTACATTCTGTAATACCTTGTACATTATACTTTCAGTCCTTCCTTTTTTCCCGTTTTTCCTACTTGATAACAGCAGAACAGTGATAACAGAACATCGTTTTTTGACATCATAATGAATAAATAGACTATGAAATATTAAAATTGTAATGCAATCTTTTTATACTACTGTTTTTGTTCGAATAATTGCATTACAGCGAATGTGTTATAGCAACAACTGATGCAAGCACTTATATTCGAATACTTTTTATTCTCCTATTACTAATGCATTTATTATTTTACTCAGTTACAAGATTTTTCTAAAAATAACCATACATAAATTCAAAGAAGCATTAAAAAATAATGTGTACCTTATTGGAACACTATAATATTGCCGTTGTTGAAGTGATGATGACGTACTATCTATAGTATCTCCAACTCTTACACAAGTTACATTATTCGGTAACTGCATCACTCGTGTTTCGATCTATAAAAAACATTCCGCAAGTAAAAACACCAAGGTTAAATTAATCCTCTCGCTCCTACTCAATTCACAATTTTAGAGAGTTGGAATCCACATTAAAAAAGCATTATAACGGAACTAAATAAGTTTCAGTTGTTCTGATCGAGTTAATGAAAAGCCATAAGATTAGCTGTGTTCTAAAAAAAAATTTGACTCAAGTTAATCTTATCAGTTTCGTATCTTAGCATCAGCTAAAATAAATTTTTAACTCTATATTAAACAGAAGAATACGATTCTACCGCTAAGTGCTTAACCTTATAACAAAAGTTAGCGTAATTTCACCTCAGCAATCCGCCGCTCTGGCTTACTTTCCTGTAACGCTGAACTGTCAGAAGTGCGTTTATACTGTCTATCTGATGAGGTATTTCCAGAATGAGCCCCAAAAATCGCATCACCATTGACACGCCCTTGATCACTTGTCAACTTCATTTGTGACAAATCACTTGAACTTGAACTATTTGGTGTAGATGATGGTACATTATCGTAAAAGCTACCACGATGTGCACGCCGAAATACCTGTTGCGAAATTTCATCATCATTGGATTGGCTTCTGCAATGAAAATAAAAGAAACGTAAGCATTAGTTGGGATTTTGTACATATGAGAGTTTTAAATTATTAATCTTATAGTTCTTAAAAAGTAATAATTAACTTATAAAAAAATTTTGTATTAGAACATTTGGACATGAAAATATAAAGGTCGTTGACAATGAGCCAGTAGGAACAAAATATGTGTCATCATAATTCAAATACGTTCAATTATGAGATAAAGGCTTGGCCAAGTATGCGATATTACTAAATAATTCTTATTAATTCAGGACATGAATTTTAAAAATAAGTTTTGAAAAAACCTGAATTTAGTTCTAATATGGTCGGACTCGAGAATAGGAAATGCATAGTGATCAGGAACAACTTCATTTCGCCCTAACGGAATGAAATCGTCAGGACTGCGAATGAATGAAGAAGTGACACGGGTAGGCGAGCTAACTGTTGAAGCGATTAGATGCACGGAGCCGGTTGAAGATCTTAGTTGAACACAAGAGGATGAATTATTATAATCAATGGGTGGCTCCTCCGGTGGCAATTGCTGAAATTTTTAATTCAAAAACTGAAATTCAAACTCAATATTCACCAGTTATTTATTAGTTAGATTGATAGCAGAAATCACTAAATTTTATAAAGCAAAATTTTAGTTTGATTTTTAACTTGTCCAAAGCTTACAGTTTCCGATATTGCTCTATGTTGCTATTTAACATAAGCAGAGGCGTAAAAGATGAAATATAACTCATGAATTACTAAGCAAACGCTTAACTCTAATATTATGCTATAACAGTTTGATCCATGGGAATTCATCATGACATCGCATGCAAATACAGCAACTATGTAAATGATTATTGAATTTTTAAAATTTCTAACTTCTTGTTTTTCTACTGCACCAAAATACCGTGCTATCGCTGTACTGCTTGATGGAAATTTTGGTTGTTGCGTTTGTTGTCCTGTAGGCAGTGTTGTCGTCCTTTTACTCATCTGTTGCTTCTGCCTTCTCGATTCAAACTCCTCTAAAAATGTTAAATTTTGAAAAAAGAAATAAAGATGATTTCATAGCAAGCAATTACATAAAATGGAGACATAAAATATTTTATAAAATTTCAAAAGAATATAAGATAAAGACGTTTCAGATGAAAACATATAAATTACTATTGTTCCAAACCAGCACAACTTCATAAACTAATTAGTAAATGTGATAATGTAACTTTAACAGCAAATAACACCAGCATATATTACTTTATCTATATTCCAAAAAGACTAAAGCTTTGTTTCAACGGATTATTAGTGAATGTAAACTAATACCTTCGTTATTTGCATGTAATGAAGATGACATATTTCTTTCATTTATCCGTATATCGTGTTGTACTTCGTCAACAATCAATGGTCGCGTAGTTTTCACTTCGACACGTTTCGCAAAAATTGGAGGGCGTTGTTGTTGAAGCAATTGTGGCAAACTTTCTTGACCTTCCGATCCACGCATCAGTAATGTGTTATTTGTTGTATCAGTGAGAATCTTTGCTGTTTGCTGCTGCTCTCTTGAACTTACATTATCTTTCACAGTACTTGCTGAAGATATGCTAGATTGAGAATTTTCCGGCACAGCAGGTTCCCTATGTCGAGGCTGTAACTGCGACAACTTATACTTTGAGAGAGGTGTTGGAGATGGCGGTAACCGCTGTCGACGTATCCCAATCGGTGATCGCCCAGCAACAGCTAGAAAAAAGTTTGAAATTAAATTCCAAATGATTTGAATCTGAAATAACCAAAACAAAAGAAGGAAAGTCATAAAAAATCATAAAAGTTCCCTAATACTTAAAATTTTTAACCTGACATTCAAAAATTACTCTATGTTTCATATTATGTTAGAATTAGGTTCGAGATTTTATTACTTTACTAGTGCAATAACTTACAGTTGGCACGTGAGCAACGGCTCTGTATTTCAGCAATATCCAAACGAATATCAATCATCGAACGGCTAAGAACTGGCCCAAATGGTTTTGTTGGTATTTCAGGTGCATCACCGGGTTTCGGTGATGCAGGTAGCAACATCCGATCGCTCTAAAACATCGAAGATACTATAAATCTACAAATCATATTTATATTGTTCTGTTAATGCCAGCTCCTATTTTTAATTAAAATTTTTTTTCCCAAGATTAATAAGCAGTTACTTAGAAGATGTAAAAGCAATGAATACAGGAATTTTTCAAATTTTCAAGATTAAAAAACAAACGTGCAACTTCCTGAGACAATCTTGTAATGATTTCATTGTTTCTTCATCAGAGAAACCAAAATCCTGAGCAATAATAGTCTGAATATATTCCATAAAATTCTCCATTTGTAATTTTCGCATCGCTTCTGCAAAAAAATCATAAAATTCTGTAAACCTTGTATACTATTTCAAATCTATTATGGAGATCTCGTAATCTATCGTTTTCAGTCCTAATTTTCAAATCATAGATTTGAAAAATATTATAATAATATGTATGTACATATTTATAATGTCAAAAAGCAACACTTGATAAAAAGTAACATTCAATACATTTGGATCAGATTTCATTAGAGAGTTTTTTCTTTTTCTTTGCAACTACAACAAAATCAATAAAAAAACTAGGAATAAAACGAGTGAAAATACAATGGTAGTAATTGAACTCACTTTCATGCATTCTCATAATATTATATGCCATTGCAATCAGTATCACATCTCCTTCCAAAAGGAATACATCCCATAATCGTAATGCTAATGGAAATGGAACCCGGTCCAGGAAACAGCCAAACCACCATTTTGTTACATAAATTGGTGGAATGCCAGCTTTATCCTATAACAAAAAGAATAAAAAGATTGCAGAAATTTTAACTGATGGCTCCATGGATAAAATAACTGAGGGGAAAATATTATACTTAATTATCAATCGAAAAATAGAGACAAAAACACAAAGTATCACAATGAAATTCGAAAAGTGAGAATTCAAAAGTGTTATTTATTTAAAAAAATAGTTAAGAAACACAACTAACTAAATGCTTTTTTAAACGTGGAAGATATTTTTGCAATATTTTTTCATAATGTGTTTGAAAGCGAACCAATTTCGGAAAGCCAGGAACAAAAAATCCTGCAATTAATTCATTAATTTACTTTACAATTTGCAGTTCTACTCACAGCGTTTCATTCTATCTTAAAATGAAATTTTAAAATTTGAATCTGAATACTGTTTGAATATAGTAGTATAGCAAGTATTCTAGCTAACCTACAAAAAAGCTCATTGAAGAGAAAAACTTGTATTCACTTAATACAAAACCAAAATATAAGAAAACAGCAATAGTTTTTGTGGGATCGTTCACAAACATAATACTAGCTGTAACAGCTTTTACGGTATTTTTTTAGTAAAACAGACTGTAGCTGTAATAAAAGATCTTACCGTGCATGGAATGCTTTTTATCAACAAGTAATGCATGTAAGCACCAAAATGCATCCTCCTCATCCATATACATCAAGAAAAGTGCTGCTATTTGACTCATTCCTTGGCAGTAACCCACTTCCGTATTGTACATTGCATATGCAGCTAATACATTGAATAATGATTGTTGCCTGAATATGACGAAAACAAAGCTACAAACTTTTTTAAACTTTTTCTAAATATCACATTTGAAGAATTCAGCAATTTAAAATTTAAAATAATAAATAAATTTGAAAGTATTTTACTTCACATCGTATCTTCGACGAAATGCTAAATGATCTCGATATGTTCGATTAATATCTAGATCAATTTGTTTGATATCTTTCGAAATGAGCCGAGCACGCATCAGTAATTCACGATAAACATTATTTTTCTGCTCCTGTCGATAACGATTAATTTCAAGCAACTTCGTCCATATCTGTAAATTCGTGTGCATAATTCATTTTAAAAATAAGCGATAAAAATAAACTATGCTATTAAGAAAATAAAGCTCCAATGAATAAACTTTGAAAGTGCTGAAAAATACTGTTCACAACCCTCAGCTAATAGGATGCTTTTTTTATGATTGTCTGGGAAAAAATAAATCTTACAAAGGAAAAGGTATAATTCCGGAATTGTAATCCTATCACTTGTTGTGTCTCTGCTAATCATTATATTTCTACTATTTTTATGTGATAAAAATCATTCTTTAAATGGTAATGAAGTAAATTCTGACATTCAGCAACAGCTTAGTTTTTTAATATCAGTTCTTGAATATCTTTGGATATTCTATTTCCAGATCGCAAGAAAAATTTTAGTAGTATTTTCTAAGCACATAGCCGAATACTTTATATTTTAAAACTCAGATGATAAAATTTTTCCAAGAATATACAGTCTAGGGTAGATAAGTAATTATGATACTTGAGTTTTTATGATCTAAAAAGTAAATTCGAACAAAAAATTAGAAAAACTTACCAACGACCTGAATTTTTCAGGGACACCTTTCCAAAGCCGTTTTCTTAACTTATCGCTAGCACCTATTCCATCATTCCATCTTGTTATCATTCGTAACCATTTCTGTTCGCGTGAAACTTCTTTTATCATTCGTTTTTTTTCTGCTAACTCTTGCGCACTGATTTCTTGCACATCCTTGCTAAAATATTCAAGAAAATCCATGAATTTTCACAGTGGATATAAAAAATGTTGCTAAAGTAATCTATTTTTTGTCAAGCGGTTACCGAAACACCGAATTGATCAGCAATCTAATAAAACAAGGAAATTCTAGAATTATATTCGGAAAATACATACTGCATAAACCCGTATCGATCAGTAACTTTATATAATTCGAGATCAGGATTTTCCCATTCTTCCACCTCCTGTTCCGGTCCCTAAAAAAACTTGTAATTATCAATTTCGGCCAGAAAAATGAAAATTCTGATAGATATATTACAACGACAAAACCGAAAGAGGTGAAATATAGAACATCATGATGATATATTTTCAAAAGGTTTCTTCATCATATTGTCAAATCAAATAATTCCAAGTTCGAACAGCTTAACCAACAGTACTGGATTCACGGCCTTAATTTAGAGCCACACATATGGCATTTTTAGCAAGCAAAGGAAGACATATTAAACTAAATAATCTATTCACTATGTTTAGTGATATATAAGAACCAAATCAAGATATTTTGCTTCAGTATTTATCTGACTGTAACGAATCAAAATACCCTCTCATATTTTTCAACAATTTGCGAGCGTTCTTCCAATTCCCGAAATTCTGGATCATCCGATCCATCGCTTGATGTCGCTTCCGTTTCATCATTTATTGTCGCTGGAAAAAAATCAAATAAATGTAACAAGTTGGAAATTATTTTAGATTGAAACCATCATCATTTCATCATTACTTGCAAATAGAAAAAATTCTCAGGAAGTATTTTTTGTGAAATTCATAAATAAAAAGGAAAAAAAATTCTGAAAAAAGAAAAATCAGATAATCTTTCAAAATATTACTTGGACTGCCTGGTTAATCAAAATACCTTTTATATGAAATATCTATATTTCTAATCATAAATTCATGACATACTCCACAATTTAAGCACAAACCCATAAATTCACTGTCAATAAATGATAACTGCAGTAAGTTTTACAAGCCATCATTGCATCTATTAAGTTTTCGGTATTCATTTTCTTTTTCAATTTAATTTAAGTTTTACATTCGTCGTTCTGCGACCATTATTTTCATGATATACACAGAAACCGAATTTTTTTTTTTTTTGGATTCTGTCGTTGCAATAATGACAACGGCTGTCAATGCTACGAATAAGGTAATTGTGAGACGAACGTCATTTTCGTGAGAAAAATAAAGTTTAGCTAAACTCCCGACGTCAAAATTTATTTTTCCTATTAACCTATATTAGTACAAAAGTAGAACAGAAAGTTCACTAAAAATGTGAGCAATAATGGGAAGATTTTCGCCGAGTATAGTAACAAACTATTTCCACTTAATTGTTTCCATTGCTATCAAAATGGTAGATAAGATATTGCAAGACTATGAGATGAAATGATTATTTAATTAATCTTCACCATTGCAGATCGAAAAATTTCTTCGATGCAAGAATTTTAAGTAGATAATATGATATAATCCGAGACATGCAGTGTCCTATTTCATATTTCAATATAATGCCATCTATACCTGATAATAGGACATTGCGAAATAGTTTCTTTTGTATAGAAATTGAGGAATATAGTCGAGATTGACTATAATTTAAAAAAAAAATGTGAGTACATTGAGTGTAATCCTTCATAATATCTATCAATTACTTCCTCTACTTTTTCCCGTAACGTTTGTGAATTGATTTTTTCGCAGATGATAATCATCTCGGTTGAACAAATAAAGTTTGTTAAACTTCTTGCATTCAACACAATTTTAGTCAGCTTCCATTTTCAGTAATTCTCTGGCAATTAATGACAGAAAAGGGTGAAGAGAAGGAAAAAAAGATGAAAAAGCATTGAAGAAAGTCAATAATCTTTATTTATTTATTTTTCTTTTAAAATGGAGACAGACAGCGAAAAGAAAATTTCAATTGTTACCTTCATTTATAAATGGAAGAGTAATCCCATCTTCAAACAATTACTGACTGATGTTATCAATCATCAGTTATTCTGAGCATAGAGTCATATGCTTGTTTAAACATATCAATACAAAGAAAAGAATCCCAAAATCAAAACAAGAAACCATTACTTACAGGATACAGGTCTACACTTCTATTTAAAAAAAATTTTTTTTCCGCACTCCAAACAATCCAAATGAAATTCATTCAAAAATTAAGTACTACTATAGATCAATCAATACCGCTATAAAAAATATACTAAGCTTGATTTTATATAAATTTATTCGCATAATATGCATAACACATCGAAAACATTGGTAATCCTCTTTAAGTTGCCATAGCAGAATTCTAGTTTTTGGCTAACAATTTTATGACTCAAAATTTTCTTTGAACAAATGCTAAAATAAACATCCTAAGTCAACATTTCATATTAATACACCATCATATTACTTTCTAATAAATTACCCCTGTTTCATTTCTATTACATTAAAAACTCGAACTGAAAAATTTATTAAGTAATGCATCTGTTTTCAATTTTGCTGTTAATAAGAGACTAGTGAAATGCATACATGTTAGCTTAAGAATATATGTATTCTTAAGCTAATTCTCAACATATTTTATTTCATACAATTTAATTTAATTTCTAGAATAATAGTTTGAATGATGAATAGTTCAAATTCATTTCAAATTGTTTTTTTTTTCTTCTGCTCAATAACGTTTATATTATTTAAGTAAAAGTGGAGTGAAACAGAACTGAAGGGGCAAAAAGCACAAAAAACCGAAGCAACTTCGATCAATTTCAATTGACGATTTATAAATTATTTACATGTTAGGTTTCTATGCATAAAGTAAAAATGAGGTAGAAATTCAACCTACAGTTTATTCATCGATTTGACGAAGAGACGATTAGTTAAATTAAATTCTATATTTCGATAATAAAATCATTAAAATTTATGCCAAAATAAACTATTTTCGCTTTTCGCTTTCGGCTTTTTTGTTCAATATTTTAGAGAACAGATGTGCAAAGCGGTATAAGTAATATAGAAAGAGATAGACTTATTTAATGATTGATGAGAGAAAGAAAATTACATAGATGATAGACTGTATCTCACTGTGAATTATTTCATTTAAATGTTGATGTGCAGTTATGTGATTTTTTTCGTTTTTGTTGATTGAAATGTCCGAAATAAAAACAATCTGTTCGAAAAAAAATACGAAACAACTGCTGTAGCAAGATAAAAATTTCGGAAGTTTTATTGTTGGAAAATAAACTTTATATTTGTATAAGTAATGACATCCAATAAGCATTGTAAAAATTCCATTATTTCCATTATTTTATTAAAAATTTTAAAACTGGATAATATTAAGAAACGAAAAAAGAAAAAAAAATGCACACTACAAACGCAATGCAAATAAAGTTCATCAAACTGCGAAGTGCTTCGAAGATTTTCACAATAAATAATAATGAGGCTCAAAATTTCAAAAAGAAAATGTTATATCAAAAAAAAGAGTTGGAGCCAGTCGAACGTTAATCAACAGATATATCTCCAATGAAGAAATGTAAAATAAAAATTCAATATTGAAGCAAATTTAATTTCAGTTAATGCAACTATAGAAAAACGTTCTAAAGAAGTTAGGAAAATATAAGCAGTATTTCATCTGAGAAGTATCTATGAAATCTTTTAAGTTATGCTAAAGAGAAGGAGGGAAGAGCAAAAAAAAAACCAAAAGAGAAAAATTATGCTGTGTTACCTTTTTGTGTTGATACAGTTAGCATTAAATTTCTTTTACATTTCATTCGTGTGTTATATTTTGATTCACATTTTGGTGATGATGTGTAATGATTAAATTTTCAAAATTACAAAAAAGTGAATAATGCAAATGGCGAAAATATACAATGCAGTTTTTCGCACAAAATAATGAATTATAATACCTGTAGTCAACCATTTAAAAAAATTTCTTAGAAAGTGGTTCGACAAAGAGGAAAAATTCTAGCCATCTTTTTTTGATGATTTTGGGAAGAGAAGGAACATCAAATCCTAATTCATAGCTATTTAAATAACCTCAAAAAGCGTAGGAATATCTCAACTTTCACGTTTATTAAAAAAATATAAATAAAAATATAATTTAATCGATAAAAAAATAAAAAATAATCAATTTATTTCCTGAGAAAGATGGATAAATTTAAATATATTTCTTCAAAATATAATATGATAGAATGCGCAATAAGTTACATGTGTGGTACGAACAGAACAATCATCTCATCCAAAATGAGACGATTAGTAGGACTTATTCTAATTTCGTTTCCTCGATTCAAAGCGAGTTTTGGAAAAACACTTTGTTTTTGACAGAAACTTTTATTTCTCTTTTTAACCATTTTCAATTCCAACTATTTTCTTCATAATTTATTTATTTACTGAAATCGAGGATATTAAATCCACCATGTTTAAAATACCAAAAATAAATTGATATAGCACTTTAAAGCAATGCTAACATGCTTCTTCAAAACAATTTTCCAAATATCTCATGATTCTTTAAAACTAAATTCCATAATATAAAAACATACCAAATCTTCCCTCCATATGTCCTCCATTTCTAACATCTTCCTCCACATCCACAATATTATCCAAAATATCACTTTCCCGTAAATCCATCAAATGCATACAATTTGTTGCGGTAGTAGTAACTGTAACAGTAAAAGTAGCACATAATTCTGATGATGTTCATAATGTAATTGATGTTCATAATGTAACACAACTGTAACAGTAAACAGTAAAAATAGCACATAATCATAATGTAATGTAAAAAAGATAACAATTCCGGTTCAGACCAGTATTATTTGTTTTATGTCTTTTTAGTCATCTTCATTTGTTGGCAATGTATTAAACTGTGTTTTCGGAATCGCTGAAACAATCTTACCAGTATTAGACATAAGAGTTACCCATCACCAGCTATCGATGATTATACATTTTAAAGATTCGAAGCATTTTCCTGAAAAAGAACCAATTAAATACTTCTGTGCTTTATCTAGGATACTTCAGTATGACGTGTAAGCCACCTTAAGTTAAGTGACGTAACCATATCTAGGAAAAAAAAATTAATAAAACAAATAATAATGTTTTATAATATTTCAGTTAGAAAAAAGATAAAAATTTTAATAAGAAATCTAAAAATTTCTCCAGTAAATGGAAGAGCAAAAAATAGTTTTAAAATATATTGGGTGTACATATATA